GACCTAGGATCTATCTCATTATCCAAGATAGACATGTTTGGCTCTTACAAAATGCATCGACCCATCATTCTTGAGGCTGTATTTTGGAGACTTTTCATTTTGTTGACCGAGGTCACAGCAACAAGAACGCCCAAGGGCTTGCGCACCATCCAGTGGGGAAAGCTGTGGACGGATACCACGCAGGCAAGATCCCACGGGCTCCCGCCCGTGGCATATGCCAGGGTCAATGTTATGTCGGACAAATTGAACGCCTTGCTATGCAACCCTTTCTACCTCGTGGTGGATGCAGATGTTGCCATGGAAGATATGGTGGTTCCATGGAGTTTGGCTGGCTTTTGTGTCCACAACGTTGTGGTGGCCCTTTGTGTGGCGCCAGCGCGCTGAAGGAGCGGTGCAGCGCGGCCTTGGCCGGGTTCCTTTGCCTCGACCTTTTCCAGATGTGCGCGCACCAGACCTGCGTGAAGATGAAATTGCCAAAGGGCAGCTGCTTCCTAGCGCCCCAGACGGTGCACAATTTGCAAGGAACTGCATTGGCAACGGTCGTGATTTGTGCCACAAAGGACACTGGCTTCGAACCCTGGTCTTTTGACCATTGCAGACTTTCAGAGATCTCAGTGGAAGAGTACTTCGGAATGTTGAGATCCAGGAGCTCCAACTCACAACTCTCCACCAGAGGATATTTCTATGCTTCGGCCCTGCAGGCAATGCGCAGCAACTATGCACTCAACAAGACCAAGCGCAAGCCTGAGGTGCAGAAGGGGCAGTCACGCTTGACCGAGCTTGAGCCTATTGCCGGACATTTCAGTTAAATGCTTTGGACACAACTGTTGATAGCACCATCCAAATCCATCCAATACTATCTACAAAAAGAATCCCCGTGTATCTTGTAGCGCGCGCCTGCCCGGAGTTCAATTTTGTAGCGAAGATAACGGTGTCTGTTTGCAATTTGTAAAGATTTATCTTGGACCCCTGATTCTACTAAATGAGGGTGTCTCAAGACGCCCCTATACATTTACAGGGGGATCAACAAGAATACTTCTTGCGGTGTCGCATGACATGTGGTACCTTACCATTGGTATATTTAGTGGTCGCTAGCCTGTACTATGGGGTGAGTTTCCTATGGCACGCAAGCAAACAAACACCCTGGTCCCCACCAATAGTGCTAGGTTTATCAAAAAGATCCCCACTACAGAATGCATGTTCAGGACGCATTTCCTAGTTTCCTCAACTTGTAGCCTTTTTTGTATTTCTGTGCTTGTTAATGTTGAAACTGCATTTTGTTGACCTCATGAGCCCCTTGAAACCGAGGTTTCAGGAATGTTGCCAGAATGCCTTGCAGGCATCCTTGGCGCTTGTGTCGAAGCTGAGCGATATCAGTGTGGGGACTTTGGAGACTAAATACCGGCAGGTTTGCAACGAGGATGGCTTCTTCTCAGCAATCCACCCCGATCCGGAGGAACAGTGCGAACTCGATTTGGCTCCAGAGCCAACATGCATGGAGCTGTTGGACCAGGTTCGGGCCGAGACCAATCTGGTTTTGGGGAACGAAGACGGTGAGGCAGGTGATGCAGCAACAGAGCAGGATCAGAGGGTTTTCGATGAGGGTGAGATTCAGGACAGCCATTTGGATGTACCAGACCGGGATGTTTTGGAGACGTTGCTGTCCAACACCGCCCCAAGAAAAAGATCCACAAGGACCTTGACAAGAATCATCTCCCCACTAGCCTCCTGGAGTGTGTCCAGATGGAAGGGGACCTGATTAACAACTTGTTCAGGCTCGCGGTATGGCTACGATCAGCCCCTGGAGGGGCTGACACCTTCCTCATTAGGAATGCCAAGGCATGCCGTTCTCGCTCCAAAAACCTGAACTGGCATCAGTTTCATGGCTTACAGAGTTCATGGGTATTTTTTCTTTTCACAAACAGTTTTTCTCATAAAGCTCAACAAGCTCTTCTGGCAAGATTTCAGAATCCGAACAGGGGAGCGCTACAAAATGAACATATGTAAAAATACAACACCATCTATTAAACATAAATGTAGTAAATATATATATATATAAATAAATAAATATATATATATATATCTTTATGCATGAGGTCTTTTTCTCAAGCCCAAGGTACAATGAAATGAAGCTCGCGGAAATGGAACAGGAGAAGGAGAATCCAATCTACCACTCCCGAACTTCCAGGATTCAAAAATGGATGGAATTGGTGAAACGTGCTCAACAGGATCTGGAAATGCCGTTGGATCCCCCAAAGCGATTAATGTCGCTTGACTTGTTCCAACCAGTGGTGTTTTGAAACAGTGTGTTGCATTTTGTAAGCAACATGTTTGGTTGTTACATTTTGTAAGCCACAGGTCCTGTCTTACAAGAAGTAGCAGTTTGCATGGAACCAGTTTGTTGAAGGCTGATTGTTGCATTTTGTAAGGACCTGTTGTTCTGCTTGCATTTTGTTGACCGGTCAAGGCCTGGCAACGTGGTCCTCTTCCAGACTCCCGTGAAGAATAGCCACATTGAAGTCGGCCTCCTGATGACTGTTTGGAAGGGGCTGAAAAGCCCCAAGCCTCACGCAGGAGAAGTGCCTGTGCAGTCTTGTGTGGCCTTCAGGGCAGTGCAGCTTAGCCCATCAGACGACTTGGGCAAGGAGTGGGAGGCAGATTGGCATTCAGTTGCCTGGGTTGTGCGCCTGGAAGGTCTGATCACAATCTTGGACGTTGAAGAAAGTGCTTCGTTTGCAGTATTTTTTGATATTTTTGCAGTTCACAGCTCATTGTGTGTGATCTTTGTCAGCGTTCTGCCATTGCTTCAGTCTTATGAAGTAAAGATGTAAACAAAATTAACCGCTGTAGGTTCAGAGCTTGTCCTTTCAATAGTGCCTTGCTGAGCCATGCTAAGGTGTTCAGCCATCTGTAAACTCTGGCAAGATGAAGGTTCGCCTCAGCGAGGTCAGTGCAGATGCATTGAGCAGATGCGAAAGCATCCAGACATGGGCAGTTGGTCCAACGATGAGACGGGGGCAAGGTGGGATGGCCACAGACTTGCGCCTGGCATCCACCACTTCAAAGCCCAGTTCAAAGGCCGTGGAGGTGAAGAAGACTGTGCCTGGTAACAAGTTTGCCAAGAAAAAGTTGCAGGGCAAGAAGGGTAAAGGTGACCAGTCCACAAAGAATGCTGAAGAGTCTCACTTGGACTTGATCAGTGACAAAGATGTCACCTATGCACGCAGCGCAGCTGGTCGCAAGTGATCCGTGAAGAGCTTCGAATGGTCCTGAAACATGATGCCGACTTGTATCCCGACAGCAGGATGTTCGACACCAGCGGCTTTTGCAGAATGAAGAACGAGGAGGCAAAAGTCACGACGATGCAGGAGATCCTGGAGAATGTCGGAGAATGCGTGGAGTTCTTGTCTCCTGGTGTTTGATTTTGTAGTGAATAGATGGCATGTGTTTGCTTTTGAAATAATTTTGTTGCGCCCGCTTTGTTCTTCATTTTGTAGTGACTTTATGGGCAGTGGCAAGGCTTTTTCAGTCGATTTGGTCCCAGCTGAATAGTCAGCCTCCTGTGCGGCAATGCCTGTTGAAGTTCCTGAAGGACGTGATTTCCTTTGTCCGAAGCAAGAAAAGTGCTCCGGCAGAGGTGCAGGAGAAGTGAAGCAAAGGTATTTGAGAAGGCCTTTGGGTTGGCCTTTGAATCTTTTTGAAACATTGTGAAACAATGTATCAACGAAAAATTATTTGCAAGCCATAGTTAGCAAGAGTTTGCCATCACAAAGTGTGTCGGAGGGTTGGCTTTTTTTGTCAACGGCAAGCACAGGCAAAGACAGACACCTGCGGAAGAGAGAAAGTGCGTGTTCTACAGAATTGAGTGCCTACAAAATGAAACATGAAAACTGTGAGCTTCATGTGCGTTCTTAAGGTGTTAAGGACTTGGAAATATCTAGCCAAACCTATCAAAATGGAAGGGTGCACCCCTGAATTTAGTAGAGAATATCCAGTCGTTTGGCACGAGAAAAGAGGAGGGTGCACCCATGCATCTTGTAGCGCGCACCTACCCGGAGTTGAATTTTGTAGCGAAGATAATGGTGTCCGTTTGCAATTTGTAAAGATTTATCTTGGACCCCTGATTTTGTACTACTAAATGAGGGTGTCTCAAGACGGCCCTATAAATTTACAGAGGGATTATATAAATATATATATGTATATATATATATGTATAAATTCATTATATATATATGTGTACACACTGCTACTCGGTCTGTGGATGCTACAGACAACCAAGAACGGCACTGTCACGGATATCGATTACAAAGCATGTTATAACCATTTCAATCCAACGGTGATGGCCATACCAACCTAGATTGTCTGGAACTTGTTTGTAGAGTACAGGTATGGCGTTACCAACTGTCTGGTCATACATCGTTGTTGATGAAAACTTGTGACCATACATCATCAATCATCAACCATTGTGTTTTCTACTAGTTTTGCATGCCCATTGTTTTCGAGAGCCAACGCACCTCTCACGCCCTGCTACTGGCCAATCACCCCGAGTCACTTGGCCCACCACAACCTGAATCCAACGCTTCAGACATGCTCGAGATCATCCGGCACCCCTCACACACTACTAGGGGTAAGGACGCTACTAGGGGCTCCTGGCCTTACTACTAGGAGCAAGAAGCTACTAGGAACAAAGGGCATCGCTACTAGGAGCAAGGACGCTACTAGGGGCACACTTTTTGTCGACTTTTCACCGATGGTTTGAGTTGCTGCAGGAATCGACTGCACTGGGGTTGTGCCGGCTTTCGTTTCTCCCCTTTCAGGTGCTAATAGATATGCTATATACATACATACATATATATATATATCAAAAGTTGTTTCCAGTCCAGACCACATACCGCTGTTGCTTTGTGGCTTTTCCTTCAAACATATTAACACACATGCGAATCAAGCTTCCGTCAGCAGACATCATGGTTCCAGAGTGCAATAATTCATCATGTTTCCAGGCCTATAGCGGCATTGCTTCTTCTGGTGTTCGCGGTGCCGTACAAGACAAGGGTGGCTTGGCTTTTGATTTCTCTTGTGGAGACATTTGCAAACTTGACCCTCCTTATTACACCTCGCTAAGCCGCTGAGATTTGCCTGAGGCTCTCTACACAAGTACATGCCCTACTTGAACCAGTCTGTCCGGCACGGCATGCAAGATATTGGTGCAAAATCTGTGCCGGACTTGATAGACAGGGCCTTAGGAAGTCCAGATTGTGTGCTCAACTGGCAGTTGAATTGGACTTTTTCGGCCATGGGCAAAACTGATACCCAAGCAAGACCTATATTTAAATAATTGTTTAGCGTGAGCTGAAGGGCTGTAGGTTGCTGATTGCTTGCGAACATGATGTAACCGTTAATGAAAGGAAATAATGCAGTTGAAGGACGGAAATCACCACCAAGCTGAGAAGAGGAGGGTAGAGGCCATCGCTAAGATCAGATTGTTTTTCGTCCTTCGCTTCACTCAGGAGAAGCTGACCTCAGAGCAGCTACGTTTTGAGCTCCGCAGCTCAGCAGCTCAACGTCACTCAGCTCAAGACTCGCTCAGTGTCACCTTCTGTCAATCTTGTGCGAACCAACGAGCTCCCTTTGTTATTTGAACATATTTGCACAATATATAACTAATGCATTATCAGATATTAATCAAGCTTTTTGTCTCTTCCTTCGTCCTTTTCTTCAATTTCGGCGCAGGTGAAGGAGGGGTGCATGGTCTTCACAGCTTCGAACGAAAGCTGTTTGCTTGAGCCATGAACTTCAGTCTTGCCTCCGATGCACATTGAGCATGGCTGCAGATGGCCATTGCTTGGGCCTGTTTTGCAAGTTTTGGCAATCGACTTCAATCGAACGCCACCAGAGCTGACTTTCGAAGCCTGGTGTGGCAAAAAAATGCTACGCTGAGTGAACCCAGCAGTCGCTGACTTTCCGGAAGGCGCAGTGATTTTGTCTTGTCTCTAGACTAGACAGGCATGCTTCGAGAAAGGAGGTTTCGAACAAGTCTTTCTCTAACATGCTTTTACAACATCTATTGTACATTTGGTAACCCAGATTCTCCGAAGCATGTCCATCTGGATTGTTTTGACTACGGCTTGATGCTGGGACTTGCACCTTGTACTCGTAGAGCATTGAGTATGGAGCCTGCAAGAGTAACAGGTGACAGAAAAACAAAGGTGGTGAGTCTCAGCAGAGGTCCTTAGCATGGCACAAGCCCCAGAGTTTTAGCGCCGTGGTTTTGCTTTTGCAGCTTCTTGAAACATCCTTCGTGGAAGAAGCTGTGCCAAGCTCCTTTGTTCCACACACACAGTCTCGAGAAGGCATCACCAATTGTTGATGAATCCAAAGACCCTGGTGACATGTGACATAACATGATGTCTTTAACAACCCCTCCTTATGTACTACTCCACCCCAAACAAAAGACTTCTCAACAGAATGACGGCACCGATAACCAGACTCATCGTGTGATTGTAGGCGGTTTTGTGAATCTTGACTTACGGCTGTTTTAGATTGTTTTAGCACAAAAAGTTATCGTCTCATCATTGTTGCTGCAAGCTACCAATCATTCATAATCATTGTGTGTCATTGGTTTCTTCCACAGTTGAGTACAAACTGGATGCGGAAGGGCAGATGGCACGGCAGAGGAACTGAATGGACGAACGTTTTAGAATGGCCCTGCAAGGTGGCGATCCCGCATCCATCCAGACTCGAGTGCGTTGTTTGGATTTCCGTCCCAGACCTGGGCAACAACAGATATTGACGCACAAGCAGATGCTGTTGGAGTTGCAGCTTCCAGATTCCAGATTGTATAAATTCCTGTGCTATCTATGCAGCAGTTGTGCTGAACATTTAAAGTAGCACCATTCTAGGCCTACCAGAGGAGCTGGAGCACCACAAGCAAGTCAGGCAGATCTGGTCCAAGAAGTTGCATGTACCGTAGATTCTGAGTTGGAATTCCTGAGAAGAACCCGTGGGGTATCAGATTCTGCCAGCTCCGATCACACAAGAACTACTGTATGTGTATCAACTGCCAGCAAGCTGGCAGGCCAATGCAGACGAGCCGTGTGGGATGCAGGAGGTCAAGGCACTTGGAACAGGACTCCTACTTGGACCGTGGAACTCCACAGAATCGTGCCAGATATTCGAGCTTTTCCTGAAGGAAATTCAGCTCATATAGCCCTATCGCATGAGACTCTGTTGATGATAAAGAATGAAACAGACATCGAAAAGACCTTGTTCTGAGGCACTTTGTGGAAGGAATTCTCTAGGCGTGCTTAGTTACGTGGCAGGTTCAACGGCAGGAGGCCACACCCAAGTCTACAGCACGGCAACTTTCACCAAGCGGATGTGTTTGGCTGCTGGAAAATGCATGCATCGAGGACATCGTTTGAGAAACCATTTGTTAAGTTGCTGCCGTTTTTCTGTTTTCTTTACCGCTGTGTACTGGGTCCTGAAACTGTTCGTTTGCAGGATCGAAAAATCATACTGTTTGGTCGAGAGTCAGAGGCTTGGACAAGTCTTTGTTGGCCTCTTGTGCCAGCCGTACAGTGCAGTATTTTGCTGATGTGAGATTCTGCTGCTCCCTGAGCAGCCTTCTCATCCAGACTTGAGATTACTTACATGCAGAATATATGTTATCCCATCCTTTTGCTACAAAGGCGCTGAAGTATTTACGTATTTCGAGACATACCCCACAGAGTATATATACATCAATAAAACTTCGATAAACACCTTCATATGCCAGGCGCCAAGCCTTCCCCGAAAACTGCTTGCTTGTGGCTTGGACTGGAACAAGGAAGAGGGCATCGCTACTAGGAGCAAGAACGCTACTAGGGGCTCCTGGCATCGCTACTAGGAACAAGGACGCTACTAGCAGTGCAATCTCCACAGCTGGGGACCTTCAGTGCATCCAGGCGGCGAGTTCGGCAACTTTGAGCAGGGACCTTCAGTGGACACAAACTCACATATTCCGACCTTCTTGGGTCCGAGATTGTTTTCTCTTTTTGTAAATTGTTAAATTATGGCTGATTTTAAGCCAAGGTTCAACGCAGTGGAGAGAAGACTTCCAGCAAGTAGGCCTTTCCACCTTGAGCAGTGTGCTGCCATTGGCTCACGCACTTCGACGCAAACTTCCTGACCTGCTTAGTTTGCCATGCGAGGCATTTGTACCCACGCAACTCCTCCGAGGCACTTAAGCATGATACAGTATCATTGTCACTGACAATCCAAAGAATGTGACAGGTCGATACCTTGGTTATTGTGGCTGGATTGACCAGTGCTACATCGAGACTTTCACGCACTTTAGATGAGAGTGTTGCTGCAGACGCATGGGATTTTGTATGTTGCATAAGTGAGTAGACAATCTTGCCCGCCAGTTTTCGTTCTACACGTGAATGTGACCATGCCCCTGGACCGAGATTGCACAATCCCTTCCATTTGCCTGCATCTAAGCACCATGTGTGATTTGTGTTTGAACGAAGCTTCATCGAAGTAGATGTGCGCCTTAGCATCCCAAGGTTACATTCCACGATTCCCTTGGCTTGGCAGCTACACCATCCAGAGTACGGCCTTTGCATATCGAGGCCACATTTCTACCGACTGCTGGACAATACAGAGACTTAGTGCTTGTAATATACATATGTGTATATATATACACATATATATATTATGTGTATGTCACTGTCAGCATACATATTTCAGACATAATGGATGCAGTGGCCAATACAGGACCTCCTCAGAGCAGGACAACACATTCAAAGCGTATGTTGACGGTGAATGAATGTTGTGCAGTTGACATCAAGGTATGTCAAAGCTAGTAGGTTGCAGGCCATCGCTAGTAGTTTGGAGGCCATTACTACTAGTAAGTGGAAGCTACTAGCAACAAGGGCATTACTGGTAGTAACAAGGTGTCCTTTGAGTGTCCTTTGAGCCTTTGAGCCTTTCGCCTCGTCGTCAGGTCGCAACTCGACATTCGTCTGGCGTTTGAAAATGCAACCGTAGCGAGTTTGTTGGGAGATTGTGAGATGAGAGGGACAGGTGGAAGGACTTGTCACAGACTTGTGCCTTGCTGTCAAGAAATACGTCAAGACTTTTCCTTCCAGGTTTCAAGCCCAAATCATAGCTGGACACTGGACATCATTGAATGTGTGCCACAACGCCAGGCTTTTCATGCTCGGCGACAGGTTCATTTCTGGAAAGCGGCCTGCCTGCAAGTATATAAATAGCTTGACGAGACAATCATGGCACAGTGGTACAGCCCTGGTGCTGGGGAGACAGGGGGCGAGGGGAAGTAAGGAAGACGAACAGGAAGACAAAGAAGTAATGAGGAGATGGAACGAGAAGGAATCAGAAGGCAGGTGGTGCTAGGAGGGAACGGGACCGGGAGGTGAATGGAGGTCAATGTGAGGAAAGACAAGAGCAAAGGAAGAGCAGGGAATCCAGAAGGGTGGGCGGAGAACACAGATTCGTGACGCCCAACCAACGATGCCAGGAGCCCCTAGTAGCGTTCTTTTTGTTCTTTTTCTTTTTCATTTTAATGTTTGTGCTGGTATTCTGGTATTGGTGGGAAGGATCAGGTGTGGACCCTCTCTAGAAATTGGTTTGTACTGGAGACCGCTGGCCAAAACAATGATAACAATGTGATATCCAGCTCCGTACTAAATGGCAATGGGCCTGGGCCTTCCAAAAGAACGAGATTCTAGCTGCTGGCCTGAACATAAGCACCGCTCAAGCAGCAGGCATTCACCAAGCATTTGAAGAATGGAGACATCCCAGAGTGGATTTCTCAGAGCTGCCATGAGCTGCCTATAGCTGAAGCGGCTGTTTGAAGGTCTTGCACATTTGTCCAAGGACTGATTCTGGCAAAGCTCAAAAGCGCGCCTAGTCGCTGTATTTGCGAATCTTGTCACAGACCCCGCTCGCACGCAGTATGACTGGACGAGGCTGGTCATCCCAGCACAATGGAGATTCTGGTGGGGCCCCCTAACAGAGCCTCGGACCAAAGCAGTGCTTGGCAAACCTCGCTGTTTCAGTGGACTTCTTGCTACATCAAGCAATGCCACGCACTAGGAAATGCCTCCCCTTCCGCTAGGACAGGTTGTCTTGCAATTAATGCTGTGTCCACCGCACCAAGTCAAGCTTCTGTGGCTTGCAGGAGCTGATGACCAAACAAAGTGCTACTCCCGAGTAATTTTTGGCCGGGAGCTACTTCGGACAGGGCTCATCTCCAAGTTCATTTTCCCCGAGTCATTCAGAACTCAAAGTTCTACTGTCAAGACTTGTTACTGCCAAGGCTTGGAGGGTTCGTAACTCCGCGAGTAGTAACCTTTTACCACAAGTATTTGGATATGGTCTTTGCCCGCAGCAGAGAAGGACGCCTGCCACACACTCTGCTAGAACTCAAGAAAAAATTCTTCCATCTCTTGCAGGACTTGGAAATGGTTTTGATACAAACGATGCTGAGCTGAAGATGTACAGAGCCATGGGAACTGGATTTGTGCTCCTCGACCTGACATGAAATCTCACCTTCAGGCTATGCAGAGAGTCTATCGTTTTCAAGACATTTGCACACACACACACACTTATGATTTTGCGTACGGAACTGAATGCGGTGCCACACGCCAGCCTAAGTGAAAAACCTAAGGAGAACAGGGTGGGTAAAAGGAAGCGGTTCAAACCTCCACAAATCCAAGGTCTCAAAACATTCAAAGGCTCCAAGGTTCCAAATTGCAACCGCGAAACGATCGAGCGACAAGGACGACGGAACGTGCAGAGTCTGCGGATGAAGAACCGTTGCAAAGGCCAGAATCTTTTGTAGTTAAAAGCAGGGCCCATGATGAAGTATCTCGAGTAAAACTGCAGGTACGCCAGACTGATCAGGTCTGGCTTCACCGCCAATTGCAAGTGTCTTCGTTGGCAGGAGACTTGCAATGGCGCTCCTGCCCCCTGCTAAAACAATTCAAAAGAATCCCTGTGACTACAAGGGGCACACACACACGCCTCCCCAAGGGGAGGCATCTCTGCCCTAGAGCGTCCTTGCGCCTAGTAGTAAGGCCAGGAACCCCTAGTAGCGTCAAAGTAGTGTCCTTGCACCTAGTAGCAAGGCCAGGAGCCCCTAGTAGCATCTCACTCCAAGGTCCCGACAGGAGGTAGGGGTAGGGAGAGAAGAGAAAAAGAAAGAGAAGAAAAAAGGAAAGGGGAAGAAGGTGTTCCCAGCTACGACACAAGCGTCCAAGGACACACCAAAAGAAGAGAGGAGAAGGGTTCCCAGCTATGACGAAAGCATCCAGGGACACCCAAACAAGAAGGAGGGAAAGGAAAGGAAGGAGAGAGACGGAACAGAGGAGGAAGAGGACAGGTGTTCCCAGCTACGCACAAGCATCCAGGGACACACCAGTGAGAGAGGGGTGAACCTGAGTATAGCGGCTAACATCACAAGAGACTCCAAACTTCGGCCGCTGTGGCCACGTACGCCGTGCCAAACTGGCTGGCAGCTTAGACCGCTACGGTCACGTTATGGCATGAGCCAGCTTTAAGACAAAAATCTGAGTTCTCTCGGCCTAGGCCACCTACGCTCGCTGCGAGCTACTCTGGTCCCGGGCGCAGGGACAAGACAAACCCCCGTTCGACGGGTCCACGGGAGGCACTCTGCGGGCTCATCCCGGGCTGGCATTAAGCCAGACACACTTATGATTTTGCGTACGGAACTGAAGCGGTTCAAACCTCCACAAATCCAAGGTCTCAAGACATTCAAAGGCTCCAAGGTTCCAAATTGCAACCGCGAAACGATCGAGCGACAAGGACGACGGAACGTGCAGAGTCTGCGGATGAAGAACCGTTGCAAAGGCCAGAATCTTGTTGTAGTCAAAAGCAGGGCCCATGATGAAGTATCTCGAGTAAAACTGCAGGTACGCCAGACTGATCAGGTCTGGCTTCACCGCCAATTGCAAGTGTCTTCGTTGGCAGGAGACTTGCAATGGCGCTCCTGCCCCCTGCTAAAACAATTCAAAAGAATCCCTGTGACTACAAGGGGCACACACACACATTCTTGTACACATGTAGTACCCGGGCAAGCTGGGGGGTGGAAGGGTGGAAGCTTCACATGGCTTTAGGGACCTGGATGAAACCATATGTTACAACCTCTAGATCAACATTCGTCCTGGGCATCGCAGCTGGCCACGTGACACCGTGACACCACACGTGATTGGCGTCACCAATCTTTGTCGCTCACCGGCGTCATGGCACGGATGTTTGCAAACACACTTTCCACTGAGGCCTCGCCAAATGTGACGTAATTTCGTGCACGGTGTGCCACATCCTTGACGCAGCAAAGCGACACCAAGAGTGATCGACGCAACCTAGCATCCTCCTCACCTGCGACCTCCTGCGACATGCAGAATTCACACACACACACACACACACTTGAGAAAGAACCTGTGAGGAAGTTTCAAGGTGGTTCCAAGAGTGCATTAACCCTTTACAGTTTAGTTACTGCGTTAGCCGACTAGTGCAAGCAGACCTGTTTCTATCAATGGCCCTGTGCGAGCAGCAAGGTGAATAAGTCCGGAACAATATTGTTTATGAATATGTTTAAATCATTTGCTCAAGTAGCAGGTGCACAATGTGGCGTTCCACATGGCTTCACCACGAGCTGACGCGTCTTCGTAGCGTTTGTCAGTCGTGCACCACATACACACGTTTCATCATGTTTCCCGTTCCCAAGTGGCACGGAGCCACGCAAATGCACTTTCCAACGAGGCCTCGCCAGGCTTGACCTGGACTTCGCTACTACTTAGATACTAAATTAAATTGCTTTGTGTGGTTCTTATTGTCTACTTGCTGCGCAAGCTGTACTGAGTGATGCTGGCCTTTTAGGGGTGCCTATGGGTGTGACAGATTCTTTCATAGAACTTTGAGTTAATGCCGGTTAGTTAGCACACCTTTGGCACGAGAAAGAAAGAAAGAAAGAAAGAAAGAAAAAAAAGAAAGAAAGAAACGAGGCCTCGCCAAGCCGCATGGCACAGAGACGTCACCGACGTAATTTCGCCACACCTCTGCCATGCCACACCAGCGACTATCCGTACTAAGTCCACTTGCATTTGCACTACAAAGCGGCCTTTTCTGAACCCGGAGCTCCAAGAAGCCACTGCCCGTACTGTAGTTGTAATACAAATAGGCCAGCTCTGAGCCCCTAATTCCCACGAGCTAATGCCATACATCATTTGGTACTACAAAGTGGCCACAGGCTATCTCTCAAAAATGCATATTGCGAGACTTCCTCAAGTTTTGACACCTCAAAGCTCCAACATTACGATTTCATACAAGACTTTATTCTTATTGAGTTTTTACATGTTAAGGTTACAGTTAAAGCTTTAAAATGAACATTCCGCGAGATGGATGTCCTCAAACTTTGACATCTCCAAGCTTCAGCATAAGTGCTTCGTACAAGACTTTCTCTACAATTGAAAGCGACTCAATTGAAAAGTGAAAGTTGAAGACAACCATCAAGAACATGTAAAGCATCCTACGCAGTGCGCGGCCGATCTCACGACCGCAGCATTTCATTCCAGACGTGTTAAAATTTCGACGCGTTAAAGTTAAATTGTTAAGTTTGAAACTGAGCATTTCGCGGGAGTTGGCCTTCAATATTCTGCACTGTTACTTACGCAACTGTTACTGTGCAACGGTTACTTGCGCTGCTACTGTGCGAGTGTTGTTTACGCTGCTGATACTGTGCAACAGTGATTACGCTACTCTTACCGTGCAACGGGGGCTTATGCTAGTGTACTGTTTAGTGTGCCACAGTGATTCTGTTACTGTGCTACAGTGACACACTACGGTTCCTGTGCAACCGTGACTTACGCTCCTACTACGGTGCAACAGTTATTTGCGCTACCGTTGCTGTGCAATTGCGACTTATGCCGCTGTCACAGTGCAACTGTGTCTTACTTTCCAAGTTGTCCGTGACACGGAAGTTTCTCTTGTAAACTTCAAATGAGTAGTAATTGTTGCATGCACCAAAGGCATTTCATATTGCACAGCTGAGCGAGGCCAAGACATGATGCCGCATCTCTGTCAAGGCCCTTCGATCTCTCCGAGCAGCTCTCCTTTTTGAGGGCTCTCTCGAAGCAAAAACGCAATACTGGTTCATCTCACGGTTGAGGATGGCTCCTGGCAGTGAGATTGATTTGAACTACTTTACCACTGCAAGGCCCTTACCCCTCACACTCTTCACACATTCCTGTTTGTAGTTTGTGCTGGTGCATGCCTGTACTCCAAACGAGGATGGCTTCAAGCTCTTGTCACAACGGCCAGCCCTCCTTCCTCGGGAGAAGAAAGAGGACTCACTATGATAGACCAGGGCAGCACTAAATCACCCATTCTTACATCCTAGTTAGTTGAGCCTGAGTTCCATGCTGCTCGTGTGGTTGATTTGACTGCATTGAATTGCAGGGGGAGAGTACATACGAAGACGAGACAGAGGTTGGAGTTGAGATAGACCTGCAGCAGTTGCAGTTCCGCTGTCAGCTGAAGGTGCAGCTGACGCAATCACCTCGACCAGAAAGCAAGGCGCCGCCGCAAAGCAGGTTGCATTCCATGTATTGAAACATTGAGACCATGTTCTTAATAGAAGACATCAAGACGGAGAGGCTTTTGCATTACTTACACTGTGAGTGCACTGGCAGGCTCCTGTTCGGCATGTAAATGTCCTTTGGGCACGCTGCCTAAGTGCTCAACTAGCCGATTGTTGTATCACACACGTAAGATATGTGTACGGAACTGAAAGCGGTGCCACACGCCGGCCTAGGGTTCCATTTCCTAAGAGTATCAGCAGGAAGCCTTGGAGTCCTGGGGGTCTTAAAAGAAAAGAAGGCCCAAAGCGGAAGACGCCAGTCGATGATCGCGGGTCGAACAAGATGACGACGGTCCGTGCGCATCTGCAGAACTCAGTAGCCCTTTACGTGAAGATTGGAGTGAAAGCTTGTCAACACCACAACCAAGCAGGTACTTCGGAGTGATCGGCTCCGATATCCTCCCAACTCATGAGCAGCTTCGTTGGCAGTAGACTCATGAGTGGGCTACTGCCCCCTGCTGAAAAATTCGACAACTCCAAAAGCGAGAGCAATCCGAAAGGATCCCTGTGATTCCAAGGGGCACACACACACACGCCTCCCCAAGGGGAGGCAAACAAATTGAGGCTAGGACAAAAGTGTAAATGTGCGCGCTGCAAAGACAAGAGAATGAAGACATGAGAAGGAAGACGAGACGGGACAAAAGTGTGTGTGGTTGCGATGAAAGAGAAACCAAGTGCACAGGGACAACCGATGAAACCCACCTCATTGTCAAGACCTGGGCGACCTAACAGCTGAGTTGAAAGTAGATGTGCGCGTACACACTAAGGCCCGGACCGTTGTACGCGCAAAAGAACGAAAGGAGTGAGATGAAAGGACATGAAGCAAGGGAAGACATGAAAAGAAATAGGAAAAGAAGTGTGTGAAGGGGAAAGGGTGAAAGGGGAACCAAATGGAGGGGACGGGAACCGATGAAGCCAGACCTCATTACAACAACCTAGGAAGACCTGCCTCGTTAAGGTGTGTACGATGTATGTGCACCTAAGTCGCCAACAGGTTCCAATGAACCTTGAACAAGCTTCGGCCGCTGCGACCACGTACGGCTTGCCCGAGGGCTGCCACCTCTGACCGCTGCGGTCACGTTGAGGCATGAGCCAACTTGGAATTCTAAAATTGAGACAAAAATCATCGTTCTTTCGGCCTAGGCCCTGCTGTCCGCTCTGGACACCTACGTTCCCAAAGCCAGGGAACATGGACAAACCCCCGTTCGACGGGTCTACGGGAGGCACTCTGCGGGCTCATCCCGGGCTGGCACGAGGCCAAACACACGTAAGATATGTGTACGGAACTGAAAGCGGTGCCACACGCCGGCCTAGGGTTCCATTTCCTAAGAGTATCAGTAGGAAGCCTTGGAGTCCTGGGGGTCTAAAAAGGAAAGAAGGCCCAAAGCGGAAGACGCCAGTCGATGATCGTGGGTCGAACAAGATGACGACGGTCCGTGCACATCTGCAGAACTCAGTAGCCCTTTACGTGAAGATTGGAGTGAAAGCTTGTCAACACCACAACCAAGCAGGTACGTCGGAGTGATCAGCTCCGATATCCTTCCAACTCATGAGCAGCTTCATTGGCAGTAGACTCATGAGTGGGCTACTGCCCCCCATGAGTGGGCTACTGCCCCCTGCTGAAAAATTCGAAAACTCCAAAAGCGAGAACAATCCGAAAGGATCCCTGTGATTCCAAGGGGCACACACATACTATATTTGTATATACATACAGAGTGGTCATGAATTACAGCTCGTGCTGACAAGGTTCAGCGGCCACGCCGTTCCTCACTCAGAATTTGCAGCTGATCCAGTCCTTCGGAACTTTGTCAATCGGGAGCCATTTTGGACATGCTTTTTAGTTTTTTTAGGTGCCAGCCGCTGGATTGCCAACATGAAAGAGGTCTTGAATTGGCTGGAAGGATTCTGAGCTTTTCTGGATTCCGAAGAAGTTGTTTTTCTCAATCCGAAATCATTCCGGATAGGATGGCAGCACCCAAGCCTCAATGATGTCCGTGTGAGAGTGCTCGTGGCCCACTTTGAGCGTCTTCATCCTGCAGTCCAATGGCATTTGGCCAGACAGGAGATGTTTCTGCTTTGACCATACTGGAGCCAGCTTGAACATGAGAAAGCAAAGATGAAACAAATTCTGTTGAATAATATCAAAACCAAACAACCTACTTGTCCAGATTGAATATCTTGGAGAAGGTACAATGGTTGTATGACAGCTTCGCAGGCGGACATTCTTGTGGGTGTCACTGGTGCTGCTATGGCTTGGGGCACATTCATGCATTTGGATGCTGCCATGCCAAGTGCTCAGACACCTTTCTTCAGATGAGCATCCTCGTCTTATTGACTCTGAGATTGGACCTGTTTCCACCTGGCTCAAAGTTCTGCAACGAAGGCAAGATGTATTGCAAATTGTAACATCAGAAGTGCCGCTTCAGTCTTGTGCAGGTTGGGGAAGCAACACCGTGAGTTTTTGCCTCAAAGCGCTGGCCATTTTACAGCAACTCTTTTGTGTTCATTGCAATTGGACATCGCGAAGAGATTTTCTGGAGGTCATTATGGTGGTTTGGCGAGACTCAGTGGAATGCAGTACACTTGCATGGAGCACCCAGCTGCCCTCCAGACGTTCAGGGCCTGAGTTCATGTGGATCACGGAGCTTCGTGGGTTCAGCTGGTGCAGATTCGAGCTCGAACTGTTTTCTTCCTGAGCTTTCAGGTCCGAAAGACCCCAAAGTCGGCAAGAAGCTCTATATTTGGCAGACAAAGAGGTGAAGGAAAAGCTTGGCCCTCGACAACTGGACATAGCCGGAGGTCTACTTGGGTGCATGGAACAGTTGTTCTTTGCCTGTAATTTCAGATGAACTCGTTTCCAACAAACTTGTTGGACTGAAGGAATGGTTCCAAAGCTTTGACCGGATGGGTTTACCGGGTAAAACATGGTAAAACACACTTAAAATACTTAACAACTCCCTGGGATTTGGCTATTTCGCGATTTGACAGTTCGAATGAGCAAGCTATTGCCTTCATGACGCTTTTAGATTCTTAGGCTGGGAGGCTACTGGCATGGCCAGAACGTGCACCTGGATTTGCAATGATCCTAGCAAGCTTCCTTTGTTAGTCTTTCCTCATCGCAGCAATAGGTTCAAGTTGGAAGAGGGGTTAGTCAAGCAATCACGAAGGCAGAAATTCCAGAAAACGTTCCTTGAGGCAGTGGACAAGGCACCTACCAATAGAAAGAGTATGTTTTGTCGAGTCTGGGTTTTACTTTGTCAGGTGCTGCCCGCGCTCCCCAAAGACCGGGTTGCGTGAATGCCTAGACTTCATCAGTGCATGTTTATCTTGCACATGAGAAACAACGCGCTGCAAGCAGTAGGATAGTCGAGCATTTTTCTGCACCCTAGCAATCAACAGGGGTTTAGAGTTGAAACCAAATCCGCATTGTTTTCACCTGCCTATTTCTTTGGCTAGCAGAATGACCTATATATAACTTTTTGCTGAGGGGTTCTGGCTTTGCAAGCACATTCGCTGTCGATTCGGCAGCAAATGAAGCCATCAGTAATCACTTGTAATTTGTACAAATGCAAAGTAAACAAAGTACAATGTGCCGCTTGTGGCATGTTCCTGTTTGTGAGATGCACATTTGTCGAGACCCTCTTGGTTCGACATTGGGTGTTGTCGGATAAAACTCTTCATTCGCCATCAAAAGACACTTAGGACTCACAGTCAACTACCCCTTACGCCTCCGAGACCAATACTATCCAACAATGCTCATGACAAACTACAGAAGTGAGGCCAGGAGCCCCTAGTAGCTTCTTGTTCCTAGTAGTGATGCCAGGAGCCCCTACATGGAAATCGAACTCCATGGATTCCATCCAGTTGTTTTTTTGGTTTCAAGACTTTGCAGTCACGTCTCATCAGCTCCATGAAGCCCAGCGGGCAGCATGGATGTGAGTGGACTACCCAGCCTCAAGGTGCCCATGTTTCCAACGTACAAGCAGATGCAAATGCTCATGTGCTTGTAATTAGCCTTTGAATTGTATGTCTTCTTCCGGAAGCTTGTTACAAAGCTCATTCAAATGCAGGAACAGTTCCAGGACTTCTTGGCTGGAAAGGAGTTCAAGACTGGTGATGCTGGCATCATCCTTGTGAGCACTGGATCGTTTCTGGCTTTCTTTGGCAGCCAAGGTCTTGTTTTCGATGAGAACGCTATACTGGAACAACTAGGTGTATCTTTGAACCAGGCCAGGCCTGTCAGGCCTTCGCATCGCCTCAAAATCATTCAACATCACACTATTCAATGTCAGGAAAGTCCGAGACGCAAGAAGAGAGCTAAAGCCAAGCAAAGGAGCTTGGGAAGCGAAAAGATGGATCCGCATTGATGAGGGCAGGAAGCATGCATGTGTACTGTAGCCAGTGTCAGGACATCAGAACTGAATCATATTATTACGAAAGCCAGCCGATAGGCTAGGCTTGAGCTTTTAGACCGAACGAAGTGAGTTAAGGGGGTGTGGGGGGGGGTAGGAGGCGAAAAGGTGAACCCGGAGCTTGCCTGGAAAGAACGCTCCAGAGCGAGGGTCAGAAAAGCGGTGAAAATGGGGTCTGGTGATGCGAGTGATGCAATGGATGCCGAGCAGTGCATCATTAGCATCACGAAGGGCTGTGGAGGCTATTTGGACTATACTATACTTGAGAAGTCTGGTTGGATGTATTGGGGTCAGTATGGTAGTTGGTTGGCAGCGACGAGTGCCTATCAGAAAAGGGGCCCGTGTAGATAGCAACTTGGTGGGGTGAAGAAATTGGTGTTGTGTTTGAGGACTTGTTACAGCCACGGATCTATGCAATATTTTAGGATGACGCTTGGTGACACTCATGTTGAAGCATACAGTGCCTGCCATCGTCCTAGTAAGCATGTGTTACTTAGATGGTTTCTTCTTTTGACCGTCTCGTCTGGCGGCTGCTGGCTTTTGTTCCCCCCCTTCTCAGGTGTATATATATATATGATCCACAATTTACACAATCATTTTCAAGGATGAACCGCTATTGAATTGAGCCAGGAGAAAGAGCCAAGGTGCCACAACGCGAAGTGACTCGCCAACCCCCAAGACGCAAGATCAACCTACCCCTAGGCAGGGCTGATAAGTGTGGTGTTTCAGGTGATTAATTGGCTGAGAAGAATAGAGAAACAGTTGATATACTGGTTGTACAAATACTATATTTCAGTGTCTCAAGCTTTCCACTCCTACCAAAAGAATGCCAATGATTCAATAAGTTGAATGTGTATCGATCAACAGACTCAACCAGCAATTCTTTCGATGCTGCGGTCGGGCAGTTTGTCGAACCTTGCTATGGATATATTATTCGTCCATACATAAGTGGCAGCATCGTTCCTCGACCAGGATATACAATGCGGATCAATCACCTGGTCCTTCGCAAGCTGCGAGGAGGACGGACGGATGCGTCCAACCTAGAAGCAATGGCCTCCAACCTATATATATATATATAATAACGATGGCCTCCAACCCAAGAGCGACGGCCTCCAACCTAATAGCGATTGTTGAAATGGCAAGCTGGCCTGACTGAGGAGAAAGTCTCAATCAGCTCAGCCTGCACAGCGCCCAAGCGAAGAACCAAAGAGGACGGAGCTGTATGAGAGCCGCAAAAAGGGTCGATGGGATCACGACACGCCTTAGTAACAAGAAGCTACTAGTAACAAGTGCATCGTTTCTAGTAACAAGTGCCTTACTAGTAGTAACAAGAAGCTATTATTTAATTCTAATAGCTTCTTGTTACTATTAGTAAGGCACTTGTTACTAGAAGCGATGCACTTGTTACTAGTAGTTTCCTCTCAAAAACTTTGAAATACTCTTGCGAAGTTTGCATGAAGCTGTTGATAATCATGGATGTTGGAGTGGAGTTGTTCATTTCAATCCTTCACAATTGCATCTCACGGTAATCTCCTTTGCTGCAGGAAAAAGACTGCTGCTTGTCCATCCAAAGCACCCGAAAGGACAGGAGAAAGCATTGCCAATATCTAAGGATGTAACAACCCCAAACAAGGTATGACGGCCAAAGGTTCCCTTCTGCCCTCTTTTCGATGGAACATTTTTGGTAAATTCAGATTTGCGGCTTTGCAATTCTATTTTTGGTAACCTTGCAATTTTTCCATCAAAAGCTAGTTTTCCTTTCAGAAAGTGTTCCGTGCATTCTTGTTTCAGCTACCGCGCTGTTAACGACCAGATGGCAAAAAAGCAAATTTGTGCTTTATTTATACAACTTCCCAATTGGCTTGGTTCTTGACATCGTGTTCTTAACAGCATTGGGTGGCCGCGGGGTTGGGAGGGGTGAGAGGGGTGGAGGGGCGATACAAAGTGCAATTGCAGTGGGATTCCCGTGGAAAGAACACTGTCTCGAGAGTGGTCCACCGGACGTGCACGGAAACAGTGACAAGTGCTATGGCGCGAGTGAAGGAAGCGGTTACTGTATCTTCCATGGGCTTGAGCCAAACATGTCAGTCATGTACATTGAGTGTGAGACCAGACAGGGGTTATAGTCATCAAAAGGCAAAAGGAATGACGAAGCAAACACAATTTTCCTAACTTCTGTGCATGAAATTGCCTTGGTCGTTATCTTCATGACTAAAGGTCGTCCTTTATACTTTAAAAAATTGACAACCACCGAGGGAATCTGAAGGATTCGCTCGCCAAGTTTGCTGCCCGGCGGAACAAGTTGTTTGAGAGGAAAATGGTCGCGCAGACTTTGAGTAATTGAAGTCATCCCCGAAGAGCGGCTTCGAAGCGCGCGCTTATCCAAAAAACTCACATTATTAAATCCACAGTTCCACTGAGATAGAAAGAAAAGGACCTCAATACAGTTTTAAACATGGGACGAAATGAGACACACTACTTCCTATGTACTTCTGAAATCTGTACACCTCTCGGCTTTCCCTTTGTCACTGCGACGCGCTATTCTGAATCCTCCAGGCCTTTAACTGTGCCGGTACCTTGTTTCATCCTTTTTTCTCTAAACTGCAGCTTTCTTTGCAATTTATTCTAAACTTGTTCGCCTTTCAGCTTTCCCTCTACTCTAAGCACTATATTACTTGTCCTTTGGATTTTCCTTGTCCCTTAAGAGACGGCTTTCCTCGTTGGTGAGGCAAACCCTTGGTCCTTGTCGCTAGCTAGGATTCTGAATAAGTCAAAGTTGGGGAAACAGTCGTTGGCCTCAAGGCCACCATGCTCTTCCTCATCAAGCCTGGCGCCAAGGTGTCCCTCACTATCAACCCTAGTGTGACCTTAAAGATACCTGAGTTCCCTTGGTGAAACTAAGTGAAGCTGGTAGGGTTGTCACCATGGCAAGACAGTGGCCAGTTTAACAACCGCCTTGCCTTTAAGCCTAGCTGCCTAGCTGTCCTTTCAACCCTTCCAATCCTTTTTGCTTTTCAGTCCTTTTATCAAGTTGGTTTCTATTGTGTGCATAATGTTGATACAAAAGTAAGAGGGGTTGACAGGGAAATTGAAATGGGCGAGGAAAAGGTAAATTTGATGGAAGCTCTTGAGACCACCGCAGAAACAATTCTTTTTTGTTCTAATCACAGTGTTTTCACAATGCAGCCCCAAGGACCGAAGTGCAAGCGCCCTGATTTTGTTTCCAGTTTTGTTTCCCGTGACCTTTTTACAGTGCAATTCCTAGAATAGAAAGTCGCTATTTTCATCAGCTAGACAGCGGATGGCTCGAGAGCGTTTAGGTGTGGAGTTACTCTGGCGCAAGGCGTGTTTGACTGATGATGAAAGTGTAAGGCCAAGAGAGGCGAGACAGGGTGAAAGAGAAAGTGAAAGAGAGCGGGAGAAACGGACTGTAAGAAAAAAACTGAGAGGTGCGGCGGAGTTTAACAACAAAAGTAGGTGGATTCGGGTCACGTAGGTATTAGCCCTTAGCCCTTTATGTTACTGCATTAGCCGAGAGCATCAGCGCTTTACTGCAAAACACCAAATGAGACAGCGTTGGATTTACGTAGAATCACCAAGGTCAATTGAAGGGGTTGAAATTTGCAAACTCTGTCACCTTCTGTACAAAGGTGAAGGCGAATGAAATTATGAATCGAGTAAATAGCTAGGGATAGGTGTGGTTCTCCTGGCCACGGGGGTTGACACACACAATCAGACGAAGTCGGCGCGCCTAGGAGGAGGAGGAGGAGTGGTAAAAAGCTGTCATGTTTGGAACCATACCATGACGACAACAAATGTAACAGCAGATCGTTTTCCCTCGAGGCCGCAACGCTGCAGCGCAGTAAGCTGTAGGGTGGCCTTTTGCCACATATAGTTGAATGAGCTGTTGAGTGGTGCGGTGTGCATTGTCTTGTGGAAACGTGTGCTGTTGAAGTGTGTGATGTCTGTATTGCAGGCCTGATAATCTGAGTCGGAAGCTTCCAGCGGAGTAACGGTCGCGAATCTGCCAAGGGTGTGTGGGAGAAGCTAAAATGTTACGGTGCGTGCTAAAGTGTCAATATGGAAGCGGAGGAGATGATCGCCCTCGGCCGATTCGATCTCCACTGGGTGTCCGTAAAAGTCTGGATGGGCAAGTGTAAGAATAGGGAGGGATTGTTGATGAATGTCGTTGAGAAGGATGTACCTGTTGTCCACGTATCGTGTGTTGAGGAGGTGCAGAGGTGGTTGTTGGAGGAAATCATGGTATGTTTGATGCCAAGCGTGCTCCATCAGGGTGATGGCGACGTTGCAGAGGGCTGGCGAAAGTTGGCTGCCAATGCTCGCTCCTTGGGTTTGTTGACAGTAAGTGTGGCAAGCCTGGAAAATGTATGTGTGGAGTGCTTGTTGTACAATGAGTGGAATGTGGGTGGTGCCAATAGTGCGTTGTTGTGGGTGGTGAATGTAATGATGGCCGAGGTGAGAATGTTGGATTGGGTTGCCTGTGGAGTGGACATCAATAGTGAGAGTGGTGCGCACACACACACACACATCTCCATGTAGCCTGAAGTCAAAAGAAAAGTCTTTGTAAGAAGCCGGAATCCTTGTATGACACGCATCCTTGAGACTATGCTTACAGGACACTCAAAGGGTAAAGAGACTTCTGAGATTATGCGACAGAAAAGTTGTAACAACGGTGAGAAGATCAGGAATTGAAAGGCCACTGCTTCACCATGCAATTCACCTCTAGTGATCCTGCCGCTGATGCAGATAGATGCAGGTGGCAGGGGGCCAATACCACGATGTGACCTGCGCCCATTTTCGATGACAGGTACACATTTGGCAAAAGCTACCTCAGTTTTCGGCAACAGTTACACACTTTGGCTACTTCACATTCGTTTTCGACGACAGTTACACACTTTGGCAACATCCACCTCCGATTTCAACGACAGTTACACACATTGGCAACATTCACTCCATTGTCAGCGACAATTACGCACTTTAGCAACGCCCGCCTTTGTTTTCAATGACAGCTACAGATGTGAAGATGACAGATTTGCGGATGTGAACGTGTGCAGATGATGATGATGATGACGATGACGATGCTCAGACGGTCTCGGGAAACATGTCGCCCAACAAAGGTAACTGTTTTAGCAAAATTGAGTTCTCTACTCTACTTAGTCGTTGTTATAGATAAAACGTAAAATATATATATATATATACACGTTCCTTAGTGGACTGTTCTTTCTTAGTGCTTGAAAAGCGTTATATATATACATAGGAGCTGAGGTTTGGTATCGAGGCCTGGAGACCTCAACACCAAGGAAAAATGTCAGCGTGAAAACAGATGGTTAACACCCTGGAGATATACATTTTTCATGGTGCTGGAGGTCTGGGCGTGATTCACCCGTGCTTGAGGTCTCCTGGTGCTGCGTTTTCTCAAAGCAAAGGTGGCATGATGACGAGTGAGCAGATGAACAAGCAGCGCAAACAGCTAAACAAGCTAACTCGGCAAACATGGGGAGGGAGAGAGAGAGAGAGAACCAGGTGGCACCCACTCCACTCCTCCGGACTCCCATGCGCCTACTGTTCCGTGTGCTTGGCGTCAGAAGCTTCAAAAATCCAGTGGAACGGCCGAATCAAGGTTAAGAGAGGATTGTGCAAGTCGCGTGCCACTATGTACAGCACGAAATCTTCACTTGTCACTTCCTTGAGCCAACTATATAGTTACAGTATAAACCATATAAACGGCTAAAGATGACGCCGTATGGGTTTGCGTGGTGGGGTCAGTGCCTCCGGTCGCTCCCCGATACGGTGCATGAGATCCTTGAGAAGAAAAGATGCGCGCCGATATCTTGAGTGGTTCGAGGTATAGGACTTCATAACAGGACTTTATAAGGTGACTACGCTGTGATTGTTTTGGTGAGCCTTCTCTAGGAAACTATATAAAGCACTTGGCTCATCCAAACACCGAACACATCAGTTCCAGAAAGCTTCGGAGCCTCAGACCCCAAGAAAAAATAACCACCAGAGCCTCTGACACCATGGACTTCATACATAAAGTCCTGGTGCGAGGGTTCAGCTGTCCAAGCAACGTGTACTATATATTTCCATTTTCCCAGCAGTTTTCTTTCTGCTGGCTGTCTTCAAGGAACTTGAGAAGTCCTCGTCCTTCTTCAGCACCAAGGACGCGGATATTGAGAATTGACAAAACATCTTACAATTTTGTGCCAAACACCACATTTGTTTGGTCCATGAGGCCTTGTTCTAAGGAAGAAGTACAACCAGTCGGCTGAATGCACGAAGTAGGCCTGGGGGATTTGCCTCTGTCCATTTAAGTTTTTAAAGTCTATTTTGCATTTGCCCACAGATTGATGTTCGACGGCCAAGTCTATTTCCCTTTCATCCTCGTACTTTATAGGACAGTCTTGAACAGTAGCCACTGCCGCTGCCTCCGATCGATGCAATATGTTGGCCCTAGCTCTTTAGATTGATTGCGCTATGCACATCAAACTTGAAAGCCAGCTACACATTGTGCACATCCTCTCATGACACAGCTCTTTGACCTGTAGATTAAGGGTTTGAGCACACTTGATCCGGGCCAAAAAGGAACATGCTTTCTATCTAGCAGGGCGGCACGGCACAGCTAAAATGACGGAGTTCCGCAAAGCCTCTGCTGCAGTTGAGACGATTGAGAAGCTAACGGAGGATTTGAAGCAAGGGGCAACGCTAGCGGCCGGGGGTCATTTATCAAATGAGCTGCACTCGTGCTGGGTTGAAACGCAGAAGCATTTGAGTGAATTGTCTCCACTTGCAGAGAAAATGCAGCGCCGTTGTGATGCAAGAGCGCAGCTGGAAAGCATCAAGGAAGAGTTGCGAGCTTCAATACCTGGGGCGCCTGAAGACTGTATCAAACAGGCACAAGAGATGGTGGACACCAAGGCTGCTGGCTATGAACAAATGCAGGGCATGCTGTCAAAAGCACTGGAACTTGAAGCGATTGCGACTTACGGCGTCAAAATGGCTGAAAAGGTGAGCGGTGTGCTCACGAGGCTAAGTGTGGCCAAGGAGACCCTACAAACTATGACCCCTGTGTTTCAGCCTTTGGTAAGTCAGCTGGATGAGAAGGTGGCTGCAGCGCAAGCCGAACGTCAGAAGCAGGAGGCGGCTGCCAATGAAGCAGCTGCCAGAGAGGCCGCTGAAGCGGCCCGAAAGCCCTTGGAGGAACTCATGGAAGAAAACCAAAAGAAGTGGCAGGCACAACAGGCAGCAGAAGAAGCTGCCAGACTAAAGCAGGAAGAGGAGCTTCGCGCTGAGCAGCAGAAAGAATTAAACAGACTAGCTGCGGAAGATGCATTGCTTCGCATGGAAAAGGAATCTGACGCAAAAGTTGCAAAGCTTGGCGCCAATGCTGCATGTGCTGAGGCGCTGTCATCCATGTTGGCGGCTTCAGTGGGTGCATACCGTGGCATCATTGAAGGTCTCGAGGCAATGATTTCTGCCATTGCAGCAGAGCCAGCTGATGTCCGATTGAGGGTAATCCGTGTTCGCAATGAGGACTTTCAAGAACGCCTAGGCCGACAGCCGGGTGTGTGGCTTTTTCTGCGAGCTGTAGGATTTCAGCAAATGACACGAGAGGATTTGCCCGGGGACTTAGTCTCTGCGCTGAGTTTGTCGTCAAGTCCTCCAACTGAGCGCTTCTTGCTCCTCATGGAGCCGGACATGATGAATGCCTATGATGAATGGTCCAAGTGGCACCAACGGCTGCGGGCTGTCGCATCCTTCCTGCAGGACCTTGGGAAGCTGGCATTCCATCGCATTGCACATTTGGGTCGACATGGACAAGACTTAGTAGTCGGTGAGATCCTGTCAGCCAAAGAGCTGCTAGCAGCTTGGCACAGTAGCGTTCCCAGCTGACAAAAGTCCAGTGAACCAGTGAGCAGTGAGTTGCGGTTGTGGCATTCTTTCTTCACCAGGGTGTTTGGAGTCATAAAGAGCGTCGAAAAGGTCACCCGCTTATGCTCGATCGCCAGTTGCTACAAGACATCGTGAACCATGCCCAATGAACGCGTTGTGACCTTAGTTTCTTCTATCAGTCACAGTACATCTCCTTCGTCAATGAGGTCCTCACTGATCCTCGCTGATCAGTATTCTGCACCACCATGTAGGTGTCCTAGTTCCTCGCAGAAGCGACCTTTGTGCAGCTAGCCGGGAGGATTGACCTTTGCGAAATCATGAAGCATTTGAGAGCTGGAGCAAAAAGGTTGTCTTAAGAGTCTCATGGGAGTTTTGCTATGAATCGTTTTGTTGCACTAAGAACGTTTTCTCCTGTTCTCTCAACTGCAGCCATGAAGGACAAAGCAATTGACGCTGCATTGCATATATGGACGGGATGGATGGCCTTGGAGGATAGCTTTGCCCAAGATGTTTTGAAACTTACTGATTGCCTAACGTACAGCTGTTGTACAGCTGTTCTCCGAATTGACGTACATTTCTGGTGTTCCCTCTTGACCCTCCTTGGATCATATTCCAAGCTAGCTGCTCTCAGTCTTCTGCCTTTTCTTCCTCCAATGGTCTTCGCAGCCACAACAGCGACGGGTATGCGCAATGCTCCATTGCAGCTTTGCTTTGAGACAAGTCAAGACATTTCATGAACATTCAATGGCTTGCTAGCAGCAGCAACAGCAGGGTCACAAGCATGTAGGGCTCTGTGTGTGTGCCCCTTGAAATCACAGGGATCCTGTCGGATTGTGATGTTTCTGCTTTTTGTTTTTTAGCAGGGGGACACGGCGCCAGATTGCAGACCGTGTCTTAACAAAGCTATGCAATCTGGTGGGATATCCAGCTTGGCCAGCTGGACGTACCTGCAAATTTTAATCTTTTGGTAAAGTGCCAATGCATCTGCAGTCACGCACGTTACGCCGTCATCCTGTCGGCTCGTCGCATCGTGGAGTTTGACTTCTGGCCTTTAACTAAAGGCGCGCAGTCCCCCTCACCGGGTTTTTCAGGATTTGGTTTCTTAGGCCGGCGTGTGGCACCGCACTCACATCAGTACGCATTTCTATAAGTGTGTGTTTTCTTACTTGCACTCTGCAGTCACGCACTCGCAGTTCGGTCTTGCCGATCTTGAGACTCGATGAACTCCGTGAATTCTTGGCCTCCTGGACCTCGAAACCTTGACCTTTCAGGATGCTTAGACCCCCTTACATGGTTTATTGAGGAACTTTTTTCACCTAGGCAGCCGTGTGGCATGAGGCATTCAGTTCAGTATTCATTTCCCGTGTGTGTCGAGTTGGCTATGAAGCATGCGTGTCTCGAACTTGATGTAACAACAACGCCTTAAAGATAAGCCGAACATCAAGTTAATTTTAGCTGCAGAAGTAAGTAAGGAAGGAAGGAAGGAAGGGAGGGAAAAAGGAAGGAAAGAAGGACACAAGGAGACAAGAAGGAAGGAAAGAAGGAAACAAGGAAACAAGAAGGAAGGAGGAAGAAAGGAAGGAAGGAAGGAAAGAAGGAAATGCAGGAAAGCCATTTTAATTGTCGACATTGGTTTTGCAGATTCTCGAGAGGTGGTTGTTTCTCAGGAACACAATTGCCACAGACCTCCATCACCAGTTCAACAACCCATTTGGTTCCAGATGACACCGTTTTCAGAATTTTCAACCTTTCCTATGTATGCATACTGCGAAAAGAAATGCAAATCGCAGCGTGAAAGTTTGCAGTGCGCGGTTTCCTCTTCCATGCATATGGACAAGGATGGATAGTTTTGCCTTGCCAAACCTTTTGAGTTTGTTGCCATATTGCAAACTTTCATGTGTTCGCTCAAGATTCAGCACAACATGCATTTATGAAATAGTTAGTGATATCAGTGATATTTGGAAACAAACTCAGTCTTGCAGACACTGAGGGCGGGTCGAGTCAGTAAAACTGTGGCAAAACTAAGACATGACATTTTGAGAGATGTGGCACGTTCACACATGACAGCATCATTTCGGGGAAGAAATGGATACGTTTCAATAAATGCAACCGTTACGTGAAGAAACGCAGTTCATAGCACACTTGTGTGAGCCATGAAAAACTGGACGGAAAGCGTCAAGGCACATCAGTTCATGCCCATAGATCTCCATAGTAGGACTTGCTTGTTTGCCAGTGGCGCTGTAACTTCTTTGATATCTTGTGTTGCAGGTGGAGGAAGAAAATCTACAAAAATACCTCTGCTTGGAGCCCAGGTTGCTGTGGATCGACTCGATGACATAGGATCATGAAGCAGATGCTTGAAGCGGTTGGAAACCACCAAGGTCAGAAGCAGCATACTGTTGTCCTCCAAGGGGCCGTGCACACCTTGAAGCACACGCTTGTGCCAGATGCTTGTGCCAAAGACGGGCGTTTATGGCAGATAGCTTGTGGAATAACAGGCTCTTGGTGTGCCATACTTCTTATGCAATGTGGTGGTGTAATAGCGGTGAGAACGGCTTTGTTTGCTCAGCTTGCTTGGGTGGTGGAGGCTGAAGACCTTGATCCATGAATTAAGCAAACATGCTGAGAAATCTCAGACAGGCTGTGTTGCAAAAACGCTTTGCAAAAGTGAGAAACTCTGGCTCGAAAGCCACAGCATGAGGGCCCCTCGATAACCACGTGATCCAAAAAAGTTTGGGGTAGCAACATGTAGCATCCTGTTTGGAAAGTGTACGCTACTAGGAGCAAAGGGCATCGCTACTAGGAGCAAGAAGCTACTAGGGGCTCCTGGCCATACTACTAGGAGCAAGGACGCTACTAGGAGCAAAGGGCATCGCTATCAGCCCTGCGCTACAGAATTGGTGAGAGTGCGTGGGTTTGTAGAAAGTGTGTTCACCCATTCCTCCAAGACGAGATTGCTCAGCCACTCGCAAAGCACACCGGATGATGATGAGCTTCCTAGTGCTGTCGTTTGCAGATGATGTCGTTTGGTTTTGTAGGGATGGAGGTGAGTGGAGAGCAGGATTTTCCTTGCATATTCTTGCTGTCGTTGCTCTGCAATGTTGCCACATGCAAAGGCTGCAGATGTGCTTCCGTCTTGCAAGAGGTTGAAAAGGTAAAGTGAAGCCAAGTGCAAAGGAATGGAAGAAGGTGTAGACACTGTCGAATTTGCTCGAGGAACCTTTTGTTTCACACCGAACATGTGTTTCATAGTAAAACAATTCCTGAAGATAGTCAGCTAGCCGGCTGTGTGAAGGCAAAGAAAGCAAGGGAGATAGAAAGCCCACACACACACAAACAATGTCTTTCTTCTGACCTTGCAGCGAATCCGTTTCTTCTTGGAAGACACGAACATAGGGTCGGAGATGATAGATGTTTAGGTTTACTTTACTCAAACTGTCCACGAATCGTTGCTGGCTTGATAGCGTTTGTGCATCGAATGGGGAATGTGCAGCATTCATCCCCGAACTAGGGAGTAAAAACGAGCTGAGTTTGCACGTGCGCCCATAGAGTCTTGGAAGCAACAAAACAATAGCAAATACAGTAAGGAGGGGTCAATAACATGAGCTGCCAGGATTTGCCAAGTCACTGTTCGACCAAGTACTACCAGCAATGGCACGTGCGTTTCTGCCTGAGGCCAGTTCCCACCACAAATGCTGATGGCTTTTTACACTTTGGCGACATGCTGATGCTGCAAAACGTAAGGTGCTCAGAGCACCTAACAGGACAGCGAAAGGTCAAGCCGTGAGAAAGACAACGAGGATTAACTTGCCTGTTGCAGGCATGCACGCGTGGTTTGCTGCAAGTTGATGCGATGGAAACTACAGCGCCTGTGGCAGCAGCTTTTTGGACTGCGAAGCGGATTGAAATCTGTCATAGGATTTGTAGTACTGTAATTGTATGCAATGCAGTTGATGGCATCTTCGCATATTTATATACACAGAGGAGGATGGGTTATCATCAGTCCTTAAGCCTTTAAGGGTCAATGCACTGGCTGCTCCGCCAAGTTGCCAAGGGCGACATAGTAGGTTGAGGTTGAGGCGGATCATGAGGTGGTTGAGGCTGATCATTGATGATTGTCGCAGAATGCTGATTTGGAGGTTGACAGGGTCCCTGTCAAGCGCGGATAATAATACTGGGCAGAGGTTCAAAAGCCTTTTCAAACAATACAAGAAGGCAGGACCAAGATTGCCCTGGCTGTGAGGTGGATACTGGATCCGCTGAGGCAAGTTACGTGGAACTTCACTGTGGAACACAGTTTTTGACATACTGTGAAATACTGAGCTTTTGATTCGCTTCCAGGTGACTGGTTATGGACTGTCAACAGGCAGTGTAATTTCCTCGTGTCCAAGGACCACTTACAAGAGCACAATGGCAGAACTTCTGCCATCTCCGACCTCAAGTTTCCCTAAAATTCTAGGAACCAAATGAATAGTGCGAGCGTGTATGAGCGTGAGCTATCCTGCGTCCTAGGTATATTAGGGTAGTAATAGCTACTAGCTACCGTTAACTTCTACTAGCTGCCTAGCTACTACCTCCTACCTCGGCCTACCTCCCCTCCCCCGGCAAACAAACTCATTTTTGTCAGGACCAACTTCACTATTTGCCGTGTGGACGACAACGATCGCTTTGGAACCGACGACCGGATCCACTTTGGGCAGCTTATTCGTTTGGGGACCCTCGCTTGGCAAAGAACCCCACAAAAACAAGCCGCAAAGAAACACACAAAGACAAAGAAGACAAAGATGTAGATGTTTGAGTCTTGTACTCAGCTTGCCTATTGTTGATCTTGTTTGCTCGCAGAGGACTCATGAAGCTTTGCACGAACGACCTCATTATCTTTTTGCAGCCGCAAGCCACTCCGCTGCAACGACTTTGCATAGTCGAGTCACGACTCAACATACTGCCATAGTGATGCTGACTTATGCTGACTTACATGATGAACCTGCACCTGTTTTCGTAGGTCGCTCCAAAGAAGAGGCACAGAGAGTTCCAAGAAAGTTGGAAACATAGTAGCAACTTGCAACACAGGTGGCACGACAGGTTTAAGTAGGCACAAGCTGCCAGGGCCAAATCAGCATTTGTCCACGAGCAGCTCCGGGATCGTGATCTTGGCATGGACTTCTATGCTGCTTGATGAGAGACACCCGATCCTGAAGAGTGCTCAATTGTCACAGGCATTGGCGCGTGTGCAAAGTCAATGCCCAAAGTGGCAACGACTCCAGGACTCAACAAGTTGTTTGACTCAGTATACACATAGGCAGCTGCTTCCGCACAGGGAAGAGGAGGAGCCAAGCCACA